GATAGGGTACCTAACTTTTGTACCATTGATGTCTTGGCAGTCTGGTGAAGCTCATGGACCCCTTCTCAGTTGTTGTTTGTTGTTGTCGTTGTTATTTGCCATCCAGTCGGCCCCGACTCATAGCGACCCCTCCTTGGGTTTCCAAGGCAGTATCACTACTGAAGTAGGAATGCCCAACCTTCCTTCCGAGGAGTGGCTGGTGGGTTTGAACTGCCAGCCTTCTGGTTAGCAGTCAAGTGCCTTAGCCACTATGCTACCAGAGCTCTAGGTGCCCTCAAATCGGCTCCGACTCATAGGGACCCTGTGTACAACAAAAGGAAGTACTGCCCAGTCCTGTGCCATCCTCACAATTGTTGTGTTTGAACCCATTGTTGCAGCCACTCCGTCAATTCATTTTGAAAGACTTCTTTTTTGCTGACCCTCTACTTTACCAAGGATGATGTCCTTCTCCAGAGACTAGTCTCTCCTGACAACAGGTCCAAAGTATGTGAGATGAAGTCTCGCCATCCTCACTTGAAAGGAACATTTTGGCTGTACTTCTGCCACAACAAATGTGTTTGTCCTTCTGGCAGTCCACCGATATTCACAAGTCGTTGCCAACACCGTAATTCACAGGCATTGATTCTTCTTCAGTCTTTCTTACTCATCGTCCTGCTTCCACATGCATGTGAGGCCATTGAAAATAGTATGGATTGAAGCTAAACAATTATGTATGTCTAAATGGGGAGTGTATCCAAGATCATATACAGGGTTGGCAGAAAATGGGCCTCTCGAAGAGTATGAAGGGATGGACACTGGGAGGAGGTAACTATGGGGAGGAAGTGGGAGGGGAGCTGCTGCATTGTAAATTTTGGTCAATGACATGAGACAAAGTATATGTGAACTGCTGTATGAAAAGTGAATTTACTCTGTAAATCTTCACCCAAATCCTAAAAAAAAAAAAAAAAAAAAAATTCAGGGAAAGTTAAAAAAAAAAAAAAGAAAATAGTATGGATTGGGTCAGGAACACCGTAGTCTTCAAATTGACCTCTTAACTTTTTAATACTTTAAAGAGGACTTTTGCAGCATATTTGCCTATGCAACATGTCATTTGATTTCTTGACTGCTGTTTCCATGGGTGTTAATTGTGGACCCAAGCAAAAGGAAATCCTTGACAACTTCAATCTTTTCTCTGTTTATCATGATGTTGCTTACTTGCCAGTTGTAAGGATTTTTGTTTTCTTTATGTTGAGGTATAATCCATACTGAATGAAGACTGTAGTCTTTGATCTTCATCAAGTCCCCTTCACTTTGAGCTAGCAAGATTGTGTCATCTGCATACTGCAGGTGGATAATGAGCTTTCCTCCAATCCTGATGCCACATGCTTCTTCATATAGTCTAGCTTCTCAGATTATTTGCTCAGCTTACAGATTGAATAAGAATGGTAAAAGGACACAACCCTGATCTACACACTTTTTAAATTTTAAACCATGCAGTATCCCCCTGTTCTGTTCAAACAACTGCTTCTTGGTCTATGTGCGGGTTCCTCATGAGCATAATTAAGTGTTTTGGAATTACTGTTCTTCTCAGTGTTATCCATGCTTTGTTAGCTCCACACAGTGAAATGCCTTCGCATAGTCAGTAAAACACAGGTCAACTTCTTCCTGGTATTCTCTGTTTTCAGTCAAGATCCATCTAACATCAGCAATGCTATCCCTCATTCCATGTCCTCTTCTGAACCTGCCTTGAATTTCTGGCAGTCCATGTACTGCTGCAGCCATTTCTGAATTTTACTTTCATGTGGTGTTACTGATATTGTTCGATAACTTACACATTCTCTTCAATTGCCTTTCTTTGGAACGGGCACAAATATGGATTTCTTCCAGCCGATTAACTAGGTAGCTGTCTTTGAAATTTCTTGGCATACACAAGGAAGCCTTTCCAGTATTGTATCCATTTGTTGAAACATTTGCATCAATTCCTGGAGCCTTGTTTTTTGCATTCAGTGCAGCTTGGACTTCTTCCTTCAATACCATTGGTTCTTGATCACATACCACCTCCTGAAATGGACGAACATCGACCAATTCTTTGTGGTGTAGTGACTGTGCATTCCTTCCATCTTTCCTTCATGCTTCCTGTATTCTTCAATATCTTGCCCATAGAATCCTTCTGTATTGCAACTCAGAGCTTAAATTTTTTCTTCAGCTCTTTCAGCTTGAGAAATGCTAAGTGTGTTCTTCCCTTTTGGTTTTCTAACTCCAGGTCTTTGCACATTTCATTATAATACTTTGTCTTCTTGAGCTGTCCTTTGAAATCTTTTGTTCTGCTCTTTTACTTCATCATTCCCTTCCATTCGCTTTAGCTACTTTACATTCAAGAGCAAGTTTCAGAGTCTTATCTGATATACATTTTGGTCTTATCTTTCTTTCCTGTCTTTTTAAGGACCTTTTGCTTTCCTCATGTCTGATGTTCCTGATGTCATTTCACAACTTGTCTGGTCTTCCATCATTAGTGTTCAATGTGTCAAATCTCTAGATTCAGATGGGATACACTCAAGGTCGTACTTTCACTCTCAAGGACTTGTTTTAGTTTTCTTCAGCTTCAACTTGAACTTGCATATGAGCAATTGATGGTCTGTTCCTCAGTCAGCCCCTGGCCTTGCTCTGACTGACGCTGTTGAGTTTCCCCACCATCACTGTCCACAGATGTAGAATATTTACACAGATTCCTGTGTATTCTATCCAGCGAGGTCCACGTGTCGCCATTTATGTTGTTGAAAAAAAGTATTTGTAATGAATAAGCCCTTGGTCTTGCAAAATTCTATCATGCAATCAATCTCTTAAGTTGTTTCTATCACCAACACCCTATTTTCTAACTACCAGTCCTTCTTTGTTTCCAGCTTTTCACAGTAATTATCAATGCATCTTGATTGCATATTTAATCAACTTCAGACTGCAGAAGTTGGGGGAAATCTTCAATTTCTTCATCTTTGGCATTAGTGGTTTGTGTATAAGTTTGAGTAATATTCATATTAACTGGTCTTCCTTGTAGGTGTATGGATATCATCCTATTACTGACAGCATTATATTTCAAGATAGGTCTTGAAATGTTCTTTTTGATGATGAGTATGACACCATTCCTCTTCAATTTGTCATTCCTGGCATAGAAGACCATATGATTGTCTGATTCAAAATGGCCAATACCAGTTCATTCCAGCTTCCTAATGTCTAGGATATTGATCTTACGTGTTCCATTTCATTTTTGACAACTTCCAATTTTTCTCGATTCATACTTCATACATTGCATGTTCCTGTTATTAATGGATGTTTACAGCTGTTCCTTATCATTTTGAGTCATGCCATATCAGCAAATGCAGGTCTTGAAAGCTATACTCCATCATTAAGGTTGACTCCACTTTAAGGAGGCAGCTCTTCCTCAGTCCTAGTTTAAGTGCCTTCTGACCTGAGGGGCTCACCTTCCAGCACAATATCAGACAATGCTCCAGAAGGTTTTCATTGGCCAGTTTTCTCAGATGTAGATCAACACGCCACTCTTCTGAGCCTGTCTTAGTCTGGAAGCTCTGCTGAAACCTGTCCACCATGGGAACCCTGCTGGTTTATGAAATATCAGTGGCATAGCTTCCAGCCTCGTGCAACATGCAAGCCAGCACACTACGACAGACTGACAGATGAGTGGTGGTCTATCAGAATAACGGTCTTTAAATATGTGAAATAAAATGCATATGCTTAAAAGAAAATCAATACTATTGAAATGGTTATCAAAATACTTTTAATTGCTTAATGTAATAATAAAGGAGCTCTGGTAGCATAGTGCCTAAGGCACTTGACTGCTAACAGAAGGCTGGTGGTTCAAACCCACCAGCCACTCCTTGGAAGGAAGATGGGGCTATCTACTTCCGTAGTGATATCACCTCAGAAACCCAAGGAGGAGTCACTATGAGTACAATTGACTGGAAGGCAGTGAGGTTTTGTTTTTTTTTTTTGGTTAATGTAGTAATAAATGGGCTTTTTTATTGTCATTTTTTTAGTTGCCCTCAAGTCAATTCTGACTCATGGCGCCCCCATGTCACAGAGTAGAACTGCCCCAGAGGGTGTTCTAGGCTGTAATCTTTACAGAGCAGGTCCCCTGGTCTTCTCCTGCAGAACCACTGGGTATGTTTGAACTGCCAACCTCTCAGTTAGCAGCTTAGTGCTTAACCATCATTGTACAATCATTAGCTCCAGTGGCAGGTCTGATAGCAACAGTGTTTGCTGGTGATTTGTGTGTATGTGACATCAGCACAGTCTTGATGTGATAAAGCCTGTACTTTTCATTGGTGATAAAGTCACAGGCACTGCCAACACTCCCCTCAGAATGAAAAACTAAATGCCAGTTACCACCACCACCACCACCACCTGCATGGAGTCAGCTCCAACTCATGGGACCCCAGGGAGTGTTGGAGAGCTCCGCCCACCCGCATGGACTCAGCTCCAGGCCTGGGAGCCCGTGAGAGGTGGAGGAGAACACTCTGCTCTGTGGGATTTTCAGTGGCTGATTTTCTGGAAGTAGATTACCAGGCTTTTCTTCCAAGGTAACTTTGGGTGGACTCAAACCACCAATCTCCCAGTTAGTAGCCAAACACTATAGCATTTGACCCATACAGGGACTCCAAATTTCAGAGATTATTAAAAGCCAAGATGTAATTTTTTTCTGATCCATATTCATGACTCCCTGAATTTTCCTCACTGATCCCTTGGGGGACATGGACCACTTGTTAAGATCCCCAGAAGGATCTAGTTCAGAGCTAGAGACTGAGAGACACTTCCAAGGGTGCAGGCCAGGGGAGGTCAGCCTCCAGGTTGGTGTGGGGAGGGGTGGATTCACCCAGGAGCCTCCCCGAACTAGCCCTCCCCACCCCTTCTCATCCTGCATCCTGCGTCTGGAGGAAGTTAAAGCCAGCGATAGCGGAGAGAGAAGACACACTGCACAGTGTCTGTGCCCACGGTGTCCAGAGGCCGCAATGAAGCTCCTCCTGCTGTGGGGCTGCCTCTTGCTCCCAGGTGAGATTGGGGGGGGGGCACGGGAAGGATGGGGACCTCATGCTCTAGCCCACCCAGGGGACCTCCCAGACCAATATTTCTTTTCCCCAAAGCACATGTGGTGGTGACTATGTCCCTGCCTCCTGGTTTCTCCCATGCTACCCATCCTCAGCCTCACAGAGGGTCCCGTACTTGCTACCTCTGGAGCCTGGAGCCTGTTCCCTGGAGTCCCCAGGTCTTCCCTGTGGCTTCTGGTCTGTCCTCACTGCATGGCTGTGAGAGTGAGTTTACCTCTCAGATCTCCCAACTCTGTGCCAAGCCTGGAGGCAGAAAGGCACCCCTATGGATGTCCCACTACACTCAGCCAATATTTATTGAACCTCTGAGAGAGATAGAATTATTTAATCAATTCACAGCCCTGCTTTTTTTGTTGTTTGTTTTTTTTATTATTTTGTACCCTTTAATATCTGAAAAGGAGCTCTGGCAACGTAGTGCCTAAGGCATTTGACTGCTAACCAGAAGGCTGATGATTCAAACCCACCAGCCACTCCTCAGAAAGAAGGTTGGGCGATCTACTTCCATAGTGATACCACCTCGGAAAACTGTGGGGTCGCTGTGAGTCGGGTCCAACTCGACAGCACATAGCAACAACAACAACAACAATATCTAAAAGCATGACACACTAGACAACTGCCAGTTGTTCCATCAGCAGTGTTTTTCCTTATTGGTACTTAAAACAGTGGTGTTTGTTATATATGGTGACATCTTAAATGATGAAATGGGATATCATCTATAGATGAGAAAACTCAGAGGCCCAGAGAGGTTAAGTGACTTCCCAAGGTCACATAGCTACCAAGTGGCAGTACTGGAATTCAAACTCCGCTCTGTCTGAATCCAGACACTGCAGCCCTCCTTCACCGTGCCAGGTGTGGGAAAACAGCAACAGCTTTGGGTGTCCCAGGGGAAGGGCATTCTGGCTTGCAAGGCTGCCCCCAGACAGGGGCACCGAGTAAAGCCCGCCTGCCTTGCTGTGAAATGGAAACACCTGGTCTTCAGTCTGGGACTTGGATCCAGCAAGCTCTGACCTCCCCACCCCTCTGCTGTAGTTTCAGGGTCTGAAGACCTGAAGGGGCCAAAGGAGATCAGCAGGTTTGAAGGTGACACTGTGTCCGTGCAGTGCTCCTACACGGAGGAGCTGAAGGGGCACCAGAAATACTGGTGCCGGAGGGTCGGGATCGTCCTTTTCCGTTGCTCGGGCACCATCTACACGGGAGAAGATGGCCAGGAGGTGACACAGGGCAAGGTGTCCATCCGCGACAGTCCCCAGGAACGGACATTCACTGTGACCCTGAGGGACCTCACCCTGGAGGATGGTGGGAAGTACTGGTGTGGGATCAAAAGACTGGGCTTCGATAAGACTTTGCTCATCTCTCTAGTCGTCTTTCCAGGTAACAAATGCCCCTGCTTCCCCTGGCCGGGAGGAAGGGGGTGAAAAATATAAGAGAGAGGGGTGGGTCATCAGAGGGGGCCCCAGTTCCCCATCAACCTCACTGAGTGTCTGGAGGACTCTATGGCATCCTCACAGCATCTAGTGCAGACGTTGCCATGGGAGTCCTAGCTGCCCAAGGTCACACCAATAGTGGCAGAGTACGATTGAACCTACCTCTGTCCAACTCCACCTTCAAGGACCTTCCTCTCTGCCCAGATATGTGGGAAGAAGATTGCCATGGGTGGAGGGCAAGATGGACGTCCCAGGGAATAGGAAAGGCTCCCTCCCTGGAATCAGAAATGTTTCTGGCAACTGGAACCAACCATTGCTGCATCCCAGCTGTATCCTACAGCATCACCCCAGCCGTGGCCACACTGGCCTCCCACTACTTGTGACCTTAGCTCTTCCTCTCAGCCTCCTCTTCCCAAACCTTAAGTCCCAGGGACAGGTGCTGGGAGTGCCTGGGAACCACCATCTGGTTGGATGGGTGGATAGATAGATGCCTCCAGTCAGCTCTGACTCATGGTGACATTATGTATGAGAGACTGAAACATTGCCTGGTCCTGCGTCACTCTCACCAATGCCAGCATGTTTGAGTCGATCCCTGCAGCCATTGTCTCAGTCCATCTCACTGAGGGTCTCCCTCACCCTCGCAGCCCTCTGCTTCACCACACGTGATGTCCTCCTCTAGTGATTGGTCCCACCTGATGATGGTCCAAAGCAAGCAAGTTGGACCCTGTTCTGTGATCCGTAAGGTTTTCATTGGCTCATTCTCAGAAATGGATCACCAGATCTTTCCTCCTAGTCCGTCTTAGTTCGGAAGTTCCACTGGAAACCATCCACTGTGTGTGTCGGGGCGTGACTCTGCTGGTATCTGAAAATACTGGTAGCAAAGCTTCCATCATTTGGAGGCAACACACAAGCCTCCAAAGTATGACAAGCTGACAGATGAGTAGATTCATGGGCTGGAGGACTCTTCGAGGGCCAGGCTGGAGCCATGGCACCTAGGTAGGAGGCGGGGCACCTCTCTACGTGCCTACGGCCCAACATGGGCTGCCTAACTGAGTAGAAGGCAGCCAGAGAGGGCCAAGGGAAGCGGCAGACCCGGTCTGCGAGGTAGCAGGGGTGAAGCAGGGCTTTGTATCCCCATTTCACAGTTGGGGGACTGGAGCTCCAGGACATGCAATACTTTACCCAAGCTCTCATGGCAGTGGTGGAGCCAGAATTCAAATGCAGGTCTTTTCTGGCTGTGGAGTTGGCTTTATTCCCATAACCAGGGCCCATCCCCATTGCCAGAGCCATCATCCATGAGCCCTTATTTTAGTTCAGGGAAATAAATTTAAACTCATCAAAGAATCACAGCAGAATGGAAACCCCTCTGCACCTGCTCATTATTTCCATGAGTCCCTGACCCCTTCCAATTCTTCCCTTATCGTTTGCATTTTTGCCTAAATCCCTTGTGTCTGAGGAGAACTGTGCTCCACAGGGTTTTCAAACACTGATCTTTCTCAGAAGTAGATCACCAGGCCTTTCTTCCAAGGTGCCTCTGGGAAGACTCGACCCTCCACCCTTTTGGTTAGGAGCTGAGCACATTAACTGTTTGCACCACCTAGGGACCATTTTACCCAGTTGTGGCCAGTTTTACCTACAGGTAGGCTCTCACTGCCTTTTTTTTTTTTCCTGAATTCTTACTTTTATTTGTAATTATTTATTTGTATGTATGTATGACATGTTGTTGTTGTTGTTATGTGCCTTCAAGTGGGACCCAACTCATAGCGACCGTTCCTTGGGTTTCCGAGGCAGTATCACTACGGAAGTAGATTGCCCCATCTTCCTTCCGAGGAGTGGCTGGTGGGTTTGAACCGCCAGCCTTCTGGTTAGCAGTCAAGTGCCTTACACAAATAAATAATTTACATTATCATCCTCCTGTATCAGATCTGCTGGGCTCTCTCTCATGATAATTGGGACATTAAAAATGAAGGAGGCTAATGACTGGCCATGGTATGAAGGCACTGATGCTTCAGAGGAGGGTTCGTGCCTTCTGTGAGGGAGTCCTGGATTGGAGTCCTGGCCAATACACTGCATGAAGAGCCACCCCCCTGTCTGTCAGCAGGGGCTTGCATATTGCTATGATGCTGAACAGGTTTGAGCAGAGCTTTGAGGCTGAGAAAGACTGGGCAGAAAGGCCTGGTGATCTACTTCTAAAATCAGCTAATGGAAACCGTGTGATCTGAATAATCACAAGGGCGGTGCAGGACCAGGCAGCTTTTCCTTCTGACTCCAGGAAGGCAGCAGACAGCAACAACAATGGCCATGGTTGCTGGTAAATGTTTAACATCTGGTCAGGGCAGGGGAAGAGAGCTCTGATTTGTAACGTTTGGTGATTTCTGTGGTGTAAATGCATCTGCCACGGCTTATTTCCAGCAGCTAACAGTTTAGCAACCGGCTGGCAAGAGTCCGGAAAATTTGCAATCAGCCCTTGTGAACCAGTCTGAGCTGTCTCCAGCTAAGGGCGAAACGTGGCAGGAATTTCTAGGAAGGTTAGGAACAAGACAAGTGTATCACTCTCCTGTCTGTTATCCATCATTGCCTGGAGGCCCCAGGCAATGAAATAAGACAAGATAAAGAAGTATAAATAGTGGGAAGGAAAAGATAAATACCCTTTGTTTACAGAAGATTTGGTCATCTACTTAGAAAAGCTGAGAATAAACTGACCTGGTACTGGAACAGGGAATGATGGGGAAAGGGAAGTGTCCAGATGCCACGTAAGTCAAAATGGACGGGGGAAGTGACTGGTGGACGTGGGGAAGCTGGGGGAGCTTGGCTCCAGGGGTTTGGCCACAACAGGTTTCTGTATTGGCCCTGTCCCTGTCGGCCTTTTGCCTTTGAGGGTTCTCAGCCTAGTGGAGGAGACCCTGTAAACAAGTTGTTGTTGTTGTTAACTGCCATTGAATTAGCCCTGAGTCACAGAGACCTCTGCACAATGGAAAAAAGTGTACAGGGTGCAGGTCAGATAACGGTCCATTGTGATTCGCAGGGTTTTCATTGACTGGTTTTGAAAAGCAGATTGACTGACAGGCCTGTCTTCCTAGTCCATCTTAGTAAACAAGTAATTGCAGCATAATCAGTTATGCCAGAGGCGTGCACAGGATGCTGGGGGACACAAAGGAGAGGGGCATTTGCTCCTTTTGAGGAAGGCATTAGGGAAGTGGTGACATTTAAGCTGGATACTGAAGACCAGGAAAAGCATTGCCCAAAAAGGAACAGCATGCCAAAGGCATGGAGGCAGGCAGAAGGCTAGTTTAATTGGAAATGGAGGATGACTCTGAACGGCTGGAGCACCAGCTGGGGAAAGAGGTGATGCTGCCATGGTGGGTTGAAGCCTGAGTTTGCAAGGCCTTCCAAAGGCATTCTAAAGAGCTTGAACGTCATCTTACAGGCACTGTTGTTGTTGTTGTTTTTAAGTATCATCGAGTCGTCTCTGACTCATAGCGAACCTATGCACAACAGAACGAAATACCGCCCGGTCCTGAGCCAGCTCCATGATTCTTGCTACACTTGAGCCCGTCGCGGCTGCCACTGCGTCATTCCACCTCGTTGAGGGCCTTCCCCTCTTTCATCGACCCTCCACCTTACCAAGCATGACATCCTTCTCCAGGGAACGATCCCTTCTGACAACATGACCGAAGTATGTGAGATGAGGTCTGGCCATTCTTGCCTCCAAGGAGCATTCTGGCTGCCTTCCTTCAGGACAGACCAGTTAGTTCTTTTAGCAGTCCATGATACTTTCAGCATTCTTTGCCAACACCACAGCTCAAAAGCATCAACTCTTCTTCGGTCTTCCTTATTAATTGTCCAGCTCTTACATGCATAAAAGGCGATTGAAAATACCATGGCTTGTGTCAGGCACACCTTAGTCCTCAAGGAGACATCTTTGCTCTTTCACACTTGAAAGAGGTCCTTAATAGGTATATCTATGAAATGGGGAGTGTGTCCAAGAACATATATAAGGTTGGCAGACAATGTTCCTATAAGTTTATATGAATGATCAGAATTCCCAGGTATATAGTAGAGCTGATAAGGGGCAAGGTTGTGGTCACTGCTTGGTCACAGCCAGCTACCCAGAGGGACCGAGTAGTTGAACCTGCAGGCTTGGGACCATAGTTGCAGGGGACATCAAGCTCAATTGGCATAACACACTACACAAAACATTGTTCTACCTCCTACTTTGGCGAGTAGTGACTGGGATCTTAAAAGCTAGCAAGCTGCCATCTAGATGCAACGATGGGTCTTTCCTTGTCCAGAACAAAGAATGAAGAAACCAAAATTCATGGAAACAATCAGTCCTAGCGCCTGGTACACCATCCAATCTGCAGCCTATACAACTATGAGGCCAGAAGAACTAGATGGTACCTGGCTACCACTGTCATCACTTGGAAGGGAATTTATGTAGGAGATCCTCGACAGAGAGGGAGAACAATGTGGAACAAAACTCAAAATCATTTGGAGGAAAAAAAAAAAAGGTGAAGACCAGGTTTGCTGGTCCGATAGAGCCTGGTGGAACCACTGAGACTATGGCCCCTAGCTGCCCTTCAGGTCTGGAATTAAACCCACACCTGTGGTTTCCAGCCAAACAAAATACAGGCATATGAGTTGAACATTTACCTCAAGTAGATACACTCCTTGGAGAGAACAATCATGGGAGAAAGAAGGGCTGCTTATGCACAGGGAGACAGCTCAGGGGGCAGGAGTGTATGGAGGGATGGACACTGGGAAGAGGTAACTATGGGGAGGAAGTGGAAGGGAAGCTGTTGCATTGTGGTAAACTGTGGTCAATGTCATGAAACAAAGTATATGTAAACTGCTGTACAGAAAGTGATTTTGCTCTGTAAATCTTCACCCAAATCACAATAAAACAAAACAAAGAAAGAAACGGAGAAAAAAAAAAAAAAGAAAGAGGTCCTTTGCAACTGATTTGCCCAGTGCTATACATAGTCTGATGTCCTGACTGCTGCTTCCATTGGCGTCAATTGTAGAACCAAGCAATGGGAAGTCTTTGACAACCTCAATCTTTTCTCCATTTATCGTGATGCTGCTTATAGGTCCAGTTGGGAGGATTTTTGTTTTCCTTATATTGAGGTATAATCCACACTGCAGATTGTATTCTTCGATCTTCATCAGTAAGTACTTCAAGTCATCCTCACTTTCAGCAAGCAAAGTTGTGTCATCAGCATATCGCAGGTGTTAATGATTGATTCTTCCTCCAATCCTGATGCCATGTTCTTCTTCATATAGTCCAGCTTCTCGGATTATTTTCTCAGCATACAGATTGAATAAGTATGGTGAAAGGATACAACCTTGACACACTCCCTTCTTGATTTTAAACCATGCAGTGTTCCCTTTTTCTGTTTGAACGACAGCCTCCTGGTCTACGTACAGGTTCCTCATGAGTACATTTAAGTGTTCTGGAATTCCCATTCTTCTCATTGTTATCCACAATTTGTTATTTGTTATAGGCACTAGGGAGCCGTTAACTACTCTATAGCCAGGAGTGACAAGATTCAATATATATTTACAGACAAAACTGGCATCCATGTGAAGGATTGCATGGAAGGCGCAGGCTGGGGAGCAGTAGGCTACAAGAGAAGCTGAAGGCCTGAGCTAAGCTGGAGGTCAAGGGGACTGCATAGAGAGGACTGCTCAGCTGGAATCCACTACCCTTGGCTCCTGATTGGCTGAGAGGGGAGGAAGGGGAGACTCTGACCTGAGTTGGGGGTGGGAAAGCTGCTGGATGCTCCCAAGGAAGGGAAACCAGTTCAGAGCAGTGATGTGGGTCCTTCCCTGAGACCAGCCTCTCCCTTTCCTCTAGGGCCCTGCTGTCCTCCCTCCCCTCCTACCTTCTTCCAGCCTCTTGCTACAACAAGCCTCCAGCCCAAGGCAAAAGCTTGGCAAACCCAGCCCTCAGAATTGAGTGAGTGCATGGTTCTTCTGTCCCTCCTCCACCCCTTTCCCAAGAAACATCCAGCGAGTGCTGACCTGGTGCCTGACGCTGCACTTTGTGACCACTCAGCTACCCCACAAGCCTGGGAGCAGGGTTGTCCAGCTCAGGGCAGGGAATGGAGGAGGCTCAGTAGGGTTGGGTCCCTCACACAAGGTCACACAGGCAGTGGTAGAGGCAAGAAGTGGACACAGTGCTCTGTCTGCTCCATCCAGGGCCTAAGGGTGAGCAGGAAAGGTCAGGCTCAGGTTCCATCTCTGCCACCCAGTCCTGCCCAGCTCTGTGGCTGGTAGAGAAGCCAAGGATTTGTGAGCCATAGGTGGTTGGGGTGGCATGCTATGGTGATTTGAAGACTTTCTTTTCTGGGAGGGAGGAGGTGACAACTGGCCAGGACTGTAGAGGATGGAGAGAAGACAGCTACATGAGTGGTCACTGGAATGGGTCATGAGGAGGAAACAGGGATGTCATTGTACCTCCTCATAGAGAGAATAGACTGTGGGTACTGAAGGGTGAAAACTTACGTGCAGGGGAGAGATGTGCCTAACATATGATCTGCTTGTTCAAACTGGCCTCATCTAGGTCTCTGCTTGCTTACTGGGGATGACCTTCAGCTAGGTCTGCTCTGAGAAACTGGTCCCGGGGAGGCTAGAGTTTAGGAGTCAAGGGTCAGAGGGCTGGGGATGCTGGGGTTCAAGGTTCAGGGAAGGTGCTGAGGCATTGCTTTTGGACTTGTAGCTTCTCCTGGTCTCCACCTGAGAGTCATCACAGCCAAGCAGGGGAAGACAGGGGCCGAGGCCCCTCTATACACAGGGATCACCTCCCTGTACACGCATGCAAGACCCTCCCTATACACAGGAGCCTCTCCTCACGCAGCGACTGCTCCTCACACAACGACCTCTCCTCATGCAGCGACCTCTCCTCACACAGCAACCTCTCCTTATGCAGGGAGCTCCCACTTGGCCACACAGCTGGACTCCACCTCGGCAAAGGGCACCAGTCCCATCCCCAGCAGCAGCAGCTCCAAGTCCAGGTGAGCCCCAGGTGGCCATGGTCACCTTTCAGACTGTCACTATGCCTTTCTACTAATTAGAACCTGACACCCCTTCTTCCAGATGGCCACAGGCTCTTTTCATAGCCCCAGCTTGGGGTCACAGGGCAATCTAGAACTCACCCCCATTTACCCCTTAGCAAGGTTATTGAGCAGCAAACAACCTGCACTAAGGGAAGCAGCAGCCCTGTTGCTTTGGACTCACAGACCAACCTCCACCAAGTTGGTGGGTCCAGCCATAGTCCCAGTCTCTCTCCCTACCCCAGACACAGGGGACAGCTACGCCAGTTCAATAGCTTTTGCTGAACACTTCATACTGCAGGCAGATTCAGACCCAGCTGAAAGTGTCACCTGGAGTTGATGACTGGGGTTCCTTCCACACCAGACGGGCATAACACGGGCTGACCAGAAGCTATGGTCCCTAGTGCCCTCTGAGGTCCTTGAGAAGGACAAGGGATGTGACTGGGACTCAGAATAAGAATGCCATATTGCAACCTCATCTACCCTGAGACCTGAGAATTAGATAGTGCTCAGCTACCATCACATACCATTCCAACTGGGGTTATAATACTTGGTCCTGGATAGAATGGAAGAAAAGTATGGAGCAGAGCTCAAATCTTATTTTAAAATAAAGGTCAGACAAACTGGAACAGTAGAGAGCAGAGGACTCACGGGGACCATCTCCCTGAGATGCTCTTTAAACCTAGAACTAGCCTGTCCTGTGAGATCACCTTTTAGACAAATAACTGAGTGACACACAAAATAAAGAATTGTACCCATAAGTTCAGTGCCCTACTTAAAAAACATTAGTATGAGACCAAAAGTCAACAATTACTTGAAAGCAAAGATAAGAAAATAAATAAGAGACTAGCAAAGGAACAAACTGAACACAATTAAAGAGACTGTTGACACTGATAAATGTAACTAATGTCACCAAACAATCTGTTGGAATGGTCAAATGGGACTCTAATTTGCTGTGTAAACTTTCACCAAAAATTCAAAAAATCTGTTTTATTTATTTTTAATTTTTATTATTATCTGGGTGAAAGTTTACAGAGCAAATTCATTTTCCATACAGCAGTTCATACACATTTTGTTTCATGACATTGACTGCAATTCCCTACAATGTAATAGCTCTCTTCCCACTCAACAAATACTATTCAAAGAAAAGAATGCTATGTTGCCCAGTGTGATAGTGATATCAAGCAGAACAGGCCATTGAGAATGGCCCAGTGTACCACTTCACTGAGCTCGGATCCCAGCTGTGTGAGTTGCTTAATCTTTTCAGGTGTCAGTTCCTCCTGTGTGAAAGCAGGCCAGTCCTACCTAGTTAAACAGTGTTCATGAAAATTAATAGCTAACACTGGCACTAGTATAACTTGCATCAAGCACTGTGCTGAGCACATCCAAAACAATTTAATTCTCACAACCACCCTCTGAAGTCTTGTTGTTAGTTGTTGATTGCGTGCAAAGTGGAACTGCTGCATAGGGCTTTCAAGGCTGCGACCCTTCAGAAGCAGACCCTATCTTCTGAGGCACCTCGGGGTGGGTTGGAACAGCTAAGCTTTCATCTAGTAGTTGAGCACTTACACCATCCAGAGACCCAAAGTCTTATTATCAACCCCATTTTACAGACAAGGAAATTGATGCCCTGTGAGGTTAAGTCTCTTGTCCAATGTCACCAGTCTAGGACATGGTGGAGCCAGGGTTTGAACCCAAGTGGCTGGCCTCAGAGTCTGAACTAATAAAAGAATGCATGTCAGGTGCCAGGAGCAGTAAATGCCCTGCAAATCTTTGCTAGGCTAAGTTGGGTTTCACAGTGGGGACTGGTTTTCTCAGCCCTGTGCCTGAGACCCCAAAAGCCATAGACTGGCTTATCTGGTAACAGCCACTGGGCTTCTCCCATCTCATCCCCAGGGTGTCCGTCCCAATGGTCCGCATCTTGGCCCCAGTCCTGGTGCTTCTGGCCCTTCTGCTGGCCACAGGCCTGGCTGTCCTCGGCAGTCACATGCTCCGCCAGAGGAAGGAAGGTGAGCAAGGGTGGGTGGGAGGTGGGTGGGTAGCTCCCAGGTAGTGTCCTCTCTGAGACCTACTTTTACCTCTTCAGAAGACCTTTTAGGTCTAAGTGTGTCCAATTGAGATACAGGTGTCAGGAGCCTGGCTCCTCACTTCTGAGAAAGTCACAAGACAATGCAATCACTACTGTCCTTATCAGTCCCAGTGCAGTTATCTCCAAGCTCTTCAGGTCCAGCCCTTTGTGGGGGACTGACGGCCAGGAAACACTGAACCCAGCACTTGAACTTAACAGGGATGAACATTATGGCCCCACACCTGCCACCAGGTCTCTACAGGTGCTCAGTCCCTTCCATAGGCTTGGATTCAAATCCCAACACTGATACTGCAACTTATTCCTCAAACTGTGGTCCCCAACTAGCAGCAGCATCCCCTGGGAGCCAATTAGGAACACAGACTCTCAGGCCCCAACCACAGATCAACTGATTTAGAATCTGTATTTTTAATATTTCCAGGGGCCTGCATGCACATTAGGGAGCCTGGGTGGTGCAGCAGTTAAACACTCAGCTGCTTATCAAAAGGTTGGCAGTTCCAACCCACCAACCACTCCAAGGAAAAAGGATGTGGCAGTCTGCTTCCGTAAAGATTATAGCCTTGGAAACCCTACAGGGAAATTCTACTCTGTCCTATAGGTCACTGAGTCAGAATCAACTCTATGACAGTGGGTGTTCACATTAAGGTTAAGAAACATGGCCTTAGCACACAGAATTTCTGGCCCACACAGAGGCCCTCAACAGCTCTGACCTTAGATGCTGGGTCATTGCCAAGGAGCTGAGATGGAAGGGGCTTTTCTGTCCAACCTGTCCTACCAACTCTATCTGCAAGGCCCTTGTTTACAAGGGCATCCTACCTCTCTGGAAGCAGCAGCAGGCTACTCCTGACTTCCAGGTGCTTCTCCTGGGTCTCTTTCAGCTCATCTAGCCATGGAGACAGAGAACCAGAAGGTCCACCTCTCACACTTGGTAAGGAAGGAGGTAAGCTGAAGCCTAAGCTCAGATCCCCTGGCTCCTGGAAGTCAGGACTCCTGGGCCCTGCCTCTGTGTCTTCCCACTTGGTCTCTACATCTGACTTGACCTAGAGCTCCAGCTTGCTTGCTGCCCAGTACCCTCTCTCTGTCCCCCTTTTACAATCAGAGAACTACAGAGCTAGACCCAGAAGGGACCTTTGAGATTATGTACTTCATGGTCCTCTAAGTTTGGCTCAAACTTCCTCTCACAATGCTGTGGTGGTGGTGGTGGGAGGGGTGTGAATGCCATTGGAAATGAACTCCGGGGCCCAAACAAATAAATCAGAACCTCTAGGGCTGGGGCCCAGGAACCATCATTTTGCAGAAGAGGAAACTGAGGTCCAGAGAGGGCCCTTCTCTGACCCCTGCAACAAGAGACCATCCCCTCCCACCCTACTCCTCCACCAGAAGTATGTGTCAGGATCACGGTTCAGGGAACCACCTACCTCCTCCAACCCTCTCAACCCACCCGGCCTCTCTTCTTCTCAGCTATTTACAGTAATACCTCCACTCTGATTCCCTCAAACATGGGGGCAGGAAAAGGGGATTGCTATCCGTTCTTTCCTGGTGCCAGTGAGGACAAAAGACTCAGGTTCAATTCCTTTCCCCAGGGAGAGGGTAGGATGGAAGCAGGGTATTGTTCTTGGCTTAGGAAGCAGCTGTTGTTGTCTCAGGAAGCTCCACGAGGCCAAAGGTGGCTGAAGGCAGTGAGGGAAAAGTTATAGGGGGGAGGAGGAGCTGCCACCAGCCACCTTCAGAGTGTGGCCTCCTGGCTGTGGTGTGAATATATGGCTAGTGTGTGAGGGAATTGCCTGTGTCCTCTGGAGGGGAGGCCGGGAGGGTGCCTGTACCAACCAGGTTTCCTGCTCTGCCACCTCCCCTGCCCTCACTGGGAGGGGCTGCCTGGTACTTTCCCCTGCTTAAGGTTCCTGGCCCTGCCTGATGATGTGGGAGGGGACAGAAAAGGGCAGAGGGCCTCTGGGAGGTGGTTTCTCAAGCCTGAGGGGGTCAGAGGCAGAGCCCTGTGTCGTTGTTAGGGGCCATCAAGTCGGTTCCAACTCACAGAGACCTTTTGTACAACAGAAGGAAACACTGCCTGGTCCTGCGCCATCCTCACAATCACTGCTATGCTGAGCCCCTTGTTGCAGCTACTGCATGACTGATGAGTCAATCTGTCTTGTTGAGGGTCTTCCTCTTTTTTGCTGGTATCCTTCTCCAGAAACTGGTCCATCCTGATAACATGGCCAAAGTAAGTGAGAGGAAGACTTGCCATCCTCACTTCTAAGGAGCATTCTGGTTGTACTTCTTCCAAGACAGATTTGTTTGTTCTGGCAGCCCGTGGTATATTCAATATTTTCACTAACACCATAATTCAAATGCATCAATTCTTCTTCAGTCTTCCTTAGTCATCGCCCAGGTTTTGCATGCATATGAGGTGATTGAAAATACCTTGGCTTGGGTCAGGTGCACGTTAGTCCTCAAAGTGACATCTTTGTTTTTTAACACCTTAAAGAGGCCTTTTGCAGCAGATCTGCTCAATGTAACGCATCATCTGATTTCTTGACTGCTGCCTCCATGGGCACTGATTGTAGATCCAAGTAAAATGAAACCTTTGACAACTTCAATCTTTTCTCCATTTATCATGGTGCTGCTTATTGGTCCAGTTGTGAGGATTTTTATTTATCACTTTCAATAAGCAAAATGAGAGCTCTGTATTCATGACAAATTAAAGGCTTCTGCTTTTTCTTGGTTTATTTTCCTTTTGATTTTCCTGTGGGTTTGAACTCCTGACCTTTTGGTTAGCAGCTGAATGCTTTACCACTGCACCACCACAGCTTCTATGGGTTTTCCTTGTTTGTTTGTTTGTTTGCTTTTGTACTTTTTAGCAGACTCTGAAGGTGGAATTGAGAGGCTTGCTTTGCCCACTTTCAGGTCAAAGAGGAAAGTGGATGCTCTACTTGCTCTGCAAGAGAGCACCAGGGGGCATAAACACTTGGAAGGAAGTGATAGGGGTCAGGACAGCATTTTCCTTCCCAAGAAGCAACCCTTCCTGTTCTAGGAGGATTGGCCTCCAACCATTCATCTATTCACTCCTTCACTGAACACTTATTTTGTGCCAAGGGCTTGACGTGTATTATCGAATCTCTGTAACTCCTACATGAGGTAGGTATTGTTGTTATTTGCCATCAAGTCGGACCCGACTCATAGCGACCCCTCCTTGGGTTTCCGAGGCAGTATCACTATGGAAGTAGATTGCCCCATCTTCCTTCTGAGGAGTGGCTGGTGGATTTGAACCGCCAGCCTTCTGGTTAGCAGTTATGTGCCTTAGGCACTACACCACCAGAACTCCAAAGAGACCCCGGTCTACCTGGCGGGGAGTGGCTGGTGGGTTTGAACTGCCAGCGTTGTGCTTGGCAGGCGACTGCCTTAGGCCCGAGGCCATCCCCTATGGCCTAGGTATTGTTACTGCCCCCATTTTACAGATGAGGAAGGAGAGGCTCAGAGAGGATGAGTAACTGGCCCATAGCGGCCCAGCCAGAAAGAGACAGAGTTGGGAGAACTCACTGAAGTCTGTGGAGCTGGCGGCAAAGCCCCTCCCACTGGAGTCCAAAGAGTGTAAGGGATGACACAAAGCCTACCACCCAAGACTCCTCCCCAGACTCAGGAGGGAGACCAGTCCATGGCCCATGAATGAGAAAAGGCCATGGCTACCTAACTTGGGGGAAACCAATGGCCCAACTGGCATTGCTGGGTTCAGATCAGTATTCCCTGCTTCTCTGCTGCTATTTTTGTAGTGCCTGAAAACGGGGGCTCTCACATAACACTGTGTATATTCAACAACCAAGAGGAGGTGTAACTTCTGTGCAGAGAAAATGCCACCACACTTGCTGTTCATAGCGCAGGCAGGGAGATTATGAGAGACTGCAGCTGCACTGGACATAGGCTCATGGTCCTACCTTTATGGGTTGGTCTCTGCCCATGAGGTTCTTTCCTCAAAGTCAGTCAACCCTTGAGCAGGGGAACCCTACTACTACTCCCTGCTCCTGGTGGTCAGTGGTTACCAGTGGCTGGATTGTGACTGAATCATAAAGCTATAAGTCTGGGCTTCGTGGGAAGTGGATCTGACTTCAGGAGTCCTCTAGTCATGCACCAAGGTCCCTCTGTCCTCCCCAGATGGTCAGGGCTGAGGGAAGGAACAAGGACCATGAGTGACACAGAGCATTTGTGAAATCTCCTTCCCCCATTCCCTCGTCCCCCAAGTCACATCTCACTGGAGGTCTGATTCTTACCTTGTTGTCTCTGTGAGGCTGAAAATATCACCAGAGACACCTCAAACCTCTGCCTGAGCCCTGTCTTCACAGCAAAGGTGTGGATGGAGGCAGAGGTCACAGTGAGCAGACAAGGGGCACTGAGACAAAGAGAAATGTGTGGTATGTCCTCCCAGATGGCTACATGGCAGGGAAAGAGCTGGGGTCTGGGGTCAAACTGTTGTATTCACAACAGTGAATCGAATAATGAATCCCAGCTGGCCCACTTGCCAGCTGTTGACCTCAGACAAATTACACCATCTCTCTGAGCCTTGGTCTCCCCATCTCACATGGCTGTAGTTAGTGACCAGTGAGAGGAGACACCTACCTATACTGGGAGCATCTTCCTTTGGCTGCTTCGGTGCCCATCCAACCATGGAGGAGGCATGGCTGGGGACTTGGCCAGTTCCAGCCTCTGCTCTGAAGCAGCTGCCCACCTGGCAGGGCAAGGGAGTAAGACATAGGAGGGCCTGGGCTCCTGACCTGAGGACACAGGGGAGCAGCCAGGCCCGGTCAGGAGGTGGACTTCCCTGCTGACCCAGACTGTCCACCTCTCCTCCCTGGGCCTCAGTTTCCTCATCCGTCAACATGGGGCTTCTCAGATAGATGACCTGTTAAGAATCCGTTAGTAAATCTTTGCTCTCTCTGGGCCTATTATAAAGACAGCGGCCTTAAAGGATTGTTGTTACCTGCCATCGCATCTATTCTAACTCAGTGTGACCCTGCTCCACAGGATTTTCCAAGCTGTGACCTTTTTTTTTTTTTTAACCTATCTAGGAATTTTCCCTGTCCTTCCCTCCCCTCCCTGGTAACCAACAAAGAAAGTTTCCTTCCATGTATAAACCTTTCCTTGACTTTTTACAATAGTGAACTAGTACAATATTTGTCTGTGATTCACTTATTTCACTTAGCATAATGTCCTCCAAGTTCATCCACATTATGCACTGTTTTTGCAGAATCTACACTATTCTTTACTGTTGCATAATATTCCATTGTGTGTGCGTAACACAGTTTGGTTATCCATTCCTCCATTGATGGACACTTAGGTTGTTTCCATCTCTTTGCTACTGTGAATAATTCTGCGATGAACATGGATGTGCATATATCTATTGGTGTCCTGGCTCTCGCTTCTTTAGGATATATACCTAGAAATGAGATTGCTGGATCAAATGGTGTTTCTATTTCCAGCTTCTTAAGGAATCACCATATTGATTTCCACAGTGGTTGTATCATTTCACAGTCCCACCGGCAGTGTATGAGAATCCTAATCTCTCCACATCCTTGCCACATGTGTTATTTTCTGTCTTGTTGAATTTTGCTATCAGTGGTGAGGTGAGATGGTATCTCGTTGTTTTGATTTGCATCTCTCTGATGGCTAATGATCGTGAACATTTCTTCATGTGCTTGTTGGCTGCCTGAATATCTTTGGTGAAGTTTCTGTTCATGTCTTCTGCTGATTTTTAAAATTGGATTGTTTTCCTTTTTAATGTTGAGGTGTTGGAGTTTTCTATAAATTTTATAGATAAGTCCTTTATCAGATATGTCATTGCTGAATATTTTTTCCCAGTCTGTAGGTTCTCTTTTTACTCTTTTAGAGAAATCTTTTGATGCACATAAGAATTAAAAAATTTTAGAAGGTCACAAGGAGCTCTGGTGGTGTAGCGGATAAGGCACTTGACTGCTAACTGGAATGTCAGAGGTTCAAACCCACCAGCTGCTCCGTGGAAGGAAGACGGGGCAATCTGCTTCCATAAGGATTTACAGCCTTGGAAACCCAACAGGGGCCACTATGAGTTGGAAATGATTCGATAGCAGTGAGTTTGGTTTGCGTTTTAGAAAGTCACAATCATCTAGTTTCTCTTCTGCTGTTTGTTCGTTGTGGGTTATGCTCTACAGTTGATTTATGTTAAGCCTGTGACCTTTTGGAAGCCGGTCTCCAGGCTGTCTTCCAAGGCACCCCTAGGTGGGTTGGAACCACCAACCTCTCAGCTAGTAGTCGAGTGCTTAGCTGTTTGTGCCACCCAGGGACCTCCACTTTAAGTACACAAGTTACTACAAAAAAAAAAAAAAAAAAAACCACTGCACTGCCATGGAGTCGGATCTGACTCATAGCGACCCCTCCTTGGGTTTCTGAGACAGTTATCTGTACAGAAGTAGATCCTCAACCTTCCGAGAGTGGTTGTGGGTTTGAACCACCAGCCTCTGGTTAGCAGTCAAGTGCCTTAGGCATGAAGCCACCACAGCTCCCCAAATAACAGTAATGGAAACAAATTAATCATCCCAGGAGTTCCCATACGGTGAGTGATAAGACATTACTATAAATATTGATTATAACCCTAAGGGGAAATTATTTCCATTTTACAGCCGAGGAAACTGAACCTCAGAGAGGTTAGATGGCTTACCAAGGTCATCCAGAGACACAGGAAGTGGAAAAACCAGGACTGGGACCAAGAACTCTGACTCCACAGTCGTATTGGTCTCCTTGCCCCGCGCCCCACCTCACCTTCCTGTCCCACCCATATGTGTCTCCCCCCTCCTCTCACAGACCATCCCTGCTGCCAAGGACAGGCTGTTCTGACCAAGTGTCTGTTACAGGTGTCTGGGAACGCCTGGGTCCCAGAGTATGCTGTGATCAACCTTGCTGAAACCTCAAGACCCACTGGGCCTTGCGCCAGCCATGAGCCCTCTGCCCCTCTTAACACGGACATCCGGTGCCTAAGCCAGGTGCGGACAGAAGCGCCACCTCCCTGACTCCAGTCTGACAATGTGGGGAAGTGGGGGTGGGGCTCTTTCCTCCACGTCCACTCCCAGACCTCTTACCTCTGTCCACCTGTATCCGCCTCCCTGCACCATCACAGTTCCATAGGCCATTCCACCCAGGAAGCCAAGGCTCTTAACCTCACTTCCCCTTTGACCAGTCCAGAAAATTCTGGAATAGCTTGTTGGGAATCTGGGCTTGAAGAGCTCTGGGCTGGCAGGATTCCCATATCCAAAGCCAGAATCTGGCCTGAGGGTAGGAGGATGGTCTCTCGGGGTGGATGGATTGTGGGGGTGGTGAGGCAAAGCCTGAGGATCCCGAGGAGGGGAAGTTGTTGGTTCCTGTGCTCCTGGAGACAGACGGGCAGAGGCCTGGGACCTGTGGGGAAGGCTGGGGTGGACCCTCTTAACTGGATTTTGCTTTTAAACGCTTACTGTTATTTTACAGACTTCACAGGAAGAGGAGGCCCCTTCCCGGGACCCTAAGGACGGCAGCCCAGTGCCTCCTCACCACTTGTCTGGGGAGGAGCTGTGTTTCTCTGAGTTCATCCCTGTGTAGCACAACCCCCTGGCCAGGCCTGCCACGAAGCTGAACAATCAACTTTGCTCTAACTCACAGGACCTTTAAGCAGCCACCATGGAGTTCATCTGTTCTGACGCCAGGCTCCCCACCCTCCCCAGCCCAGGTTCCCCCTACCTGTCCCAGGTGACCTACAAGCATTTGTTAGCCCTGGAGCCTGCAGGCAGTTGCCTTGCAATGCCAGCTGAAGAAGTGGACCTCCCCCAACAAGCTCTCACACCCATCTGCTAACCAAAAGGAAGGAAAGCCTGTCAATCTACTTCTGAAAAACTGGCCATTGAAAATCCCGTGGAACATGGTTCTACTTTGGCATACATACAATCTACAACCATGAATTGGAGGCAACTTGATGGCAACAGGTTGGGAATATATTCCCTCGGGTAATTTAAGCAAGTGAAATAGAAAAAAGGCACCCTGGTAGCGTAGTGCCTAAGGCACTTGACTGCTAACCAGAAGGCTGGCGGTTCAAACCCACCAGCCACTCCTCAGAAGGAAAATGGGGCAATCTACTTCCGTAGTGATACTGCCTCGGAAACCCAAGGAGGGGTCACGATGAGTCAGGGCCAACTCAATGGCACATAACAACAACAACAACAACAACAACATCTCTCAAAGTAATCAGAAGACAGAAATAGGCAAAGGAAAAGTAAGAACTCTTTCTTGAGAGACTGGGGTCACCTCAGATGCAACTATTGGTCTCTCCCCATCCAGAGCAAAGAAGAGTGAAGAAAATCAAAGATGCAGGGAACAATTAGGGACTAATGGACCACACGAAACCTCAGCTTCCTGAGACCAGAACTAGATGGTGCCTGGCTGCCACCACCAACCGTTCTGATAGGGATTCCAATAGAAGGTCCTGGATAGAGCGGGAGAAAAATGGAACAAAACTCAAAATCATAAAAAAAGACCAGACTTACTGGTCTGATAGAGACTAGTAGAACCCCCAAGGCTATGACCCTTAGACACCCTTCAGGCCTGGAACTGAACTCACCCCCCGTGGCTCAACTTTCAACCAGACGATAAGCCTATAATGTAAACAATAATGCCATGGAGGTACATACTCCTTAGAACGATCAACTATATGAGGCTAAAAGGGCAGCACTTTCCCAGGGACAAGCTCAGAAAGCACACACACACACACACACACAGATACACCCTCCATGCCATGGCTCCACGCCTAGATTCGTTCCTGTCAGCTAGTGGAAGGTTTCACAGTTTTTGGTAAGTTCTATAGCGTAGTGCCTAAGGCACTTGACTGCTAACCAGAAGGTTGGAGGTTCAAACCCACCAACCATGCCTCAGAAGGAAGATGGGGCAATCTACTTCCGCAGTGATACTGCCTCGGAAACCCAAGGAGGGGTCACTATGAGTTGGGTCCAACTTGAGGGCACATAACAACAACAACAACATAATGACCATAATTTAAAATAACATATTGATGTTCTTGGTCAGACCTATTGTCAGAGTGAGTTAGAAACTGGTTTTATGCCCAGAAATCAAGGCAAAAAGATTGGAAAGTGAGATGGAGCCTGAGGGAGAGGCTCTGTAGAGTTGCCAGAAGCTAGAGCTGCCAATGACAGGCAGTCATTGGACCCTCACAAGGAAAGAGACCTCTCAGGCATCGGAAGCCCAGCTCATGGGGGCAGCCATCTTGGAGCCACAATGCATGTGGGAGCCAGATGTGCCAGGTACGTGACCTCTGACCATCATCTGTACCAGAGAAGGAGAAAGTGCAGTGTGGGCAGCCTCCCAGTGCTCCCACCTGTATTCTCTCTTACTGCACTTTCACAAGTGTTGGCCCAATGCTTAGCATTTTCACAATTATCCAAGTGCTTAAAGCCCCCACTGCCACCTCCACCTTTCTCAGGGCTTGGTCTTCCTTCCAGAAGCAGTTTTTCCCCTCTCTGCATTTCCCCATCAATGTGCCCTTATACAGGTGCTTTAATAGTGCAGTGCCTAAGGCATCTGACTGCTAGCTAGAAGGTTGGTGGTTCAAACCCACTCAGCCACTCTGCAGAAGGAAGATGGGGCAACCTACTTCTGTAAAGGCTTCCCACCTTGGAAACCCACGGGGGTCACCATGAGTCAGAATCAACTCATTGGTAGTGAGTTTGTTTTGTTTTGTTTTTGTACTCTAGGGTGGTGATGCCCATATGCAGGTCTACAGACAAGTTCATCTGTGGCAAAATGAGAAAATTAAAGACGAAGCAGAAATGTTACCACTCAGTTGAACATATTTAATCTAAAGCATTACCCTTTATTCTGTTTCAGTAGTTAGGGATTGTGGTAGTTATGTTTGTGTGTCAACTTGGCTGGGCCTGGTTTGAGTGGCTGGGCAGCTGGTGGTAGTTATTCCCCATGATGAGATTGGCAGTCATCTCCATGGTGGGATATACCACAAGCAGCTGAGTAGCTGCCTTTGGGATGTGGTCTGCTTCCTGTATATAAGAAGAAGCTTTGAGAATGGTCTCTAGCTTGTGGCATGCTTGGACCCTGCATGTAGCCGTGTCGTTGCTCAGCAGCCTGCCATGCTCTGCCGACCTTGGGACATAAAATGGACTTAAGTTAATGGCCTGCCGTGTGGTTTGGTAACATCGGGACTGTGCCTTTTTACTTGCCAACCTTGGGGCTTCTCAGCCTCAGCAGCCAGCAGCTGTCTGAGTTAAGAAATGCCTCTAGCTCCAGTGGTCTGGGAGCAGGAGGCAGAGCTGGACCCCAAGGTTGAGGGGCTTTCGCCCAGCCCCTAGAGTCTGGCACTTTGAACTTGGACTTAAAGCCTCCAAATTGTAAGAATAAACTCGTTTGTTAAGGCCATCCCATTTGTGGTGTATTTCTTGTCAGAGTGGCACTAGGTAACCAGAACAGGGATTTTACTCCATTACACGCTGGTGTGACATAAACTGATATTCTTCTCAATCTAAGAAAATCCTTCCGGGAGCCCCGGCTCAACCAGCGGAAACAAAATCTCAGTTCCATTGCAGAGGGTTCCTTCCGTTCCCTAGAGTCACACTTCTAAGAGCAGAGCTGGGTCTGGAAAACGGAAGTTGGATGTTGTGTTTCAGGCAAAGTGGTGAACAAACTTCTGTGTTTTGAACAATGAGATCCCATGAAGCAGTTTTGTATTGTGTTTCTAGGATTTGGGGGAATCTCTGAGGCTATAAAACCAAACAGCCCTCAGGGGTTCGGTGAGTGAACAGGCACACAGGAAAGTGGGGTTCCAGGTTAACCCCAAAGCCAGGTTAATGAGGAGGAATGGTAAATGGGGTGCCACCTGCTGTTAGTCTCTGAGTCAGTCCAGCTCATGGGGACTCCATGTGTCACAAAGTAGAAGTGCACTCCAGAGGGTCCTTCAGCTGTGATCTTAACAGAAGCAGACGGCCAGGCTTTTCTTGCAAGGTATGTACCACAGGTGGGTTTGAACTGCCAACCTCTAGGTTCACAATTGTGTGCACTGTTCGTGTCACCCAGGCACCTTGCTAGAGGCGTTTGGAGTAGTGATAACTTACAACAGCATATAAAAATAGAGAGGGCATGTCAGGTAAGTTAGAAAGCAATGTGATCCAATTTGGGTAACACAATCCATGTGGGTACGTACACAAACCATGCATGTGGACCTGCCCTGCTAACAGTGTTCACCTCAGGACGGGGAGTGGTCATGGAGGAGGGGTGGGAGGAAGAGATAGAGTCCATTCAATGACATATAATGAGAATGGCTGGATATAAGGTAATGGGGACTCCTCAACTTGGAGCCAGCTGGTCAGAAGTGGGAGTGACCCTGGGGAGCCCAGAACTTGCAGCTGGTATCTGAAGTGAGGGCAGTCTATGGAGGACTGTGCCCTTACCCTTGGCCTGATTTCTGAGGAGTTGCTGTCATTAGTCTTTTGCAAAGGAGTGGTGGACAGAGTGCTTCCCTTCAAAGCACACACGGACGAGAGGAAGATGGACCGGGCAGTAGCCTTGGCTTGGAGCAACACTGGGGCCTCCACAGGCATGTGAGACTTCCCCCTTATAATGACATCTGGGTGACATTTCCACTAGCTCTGTGGCCCCTGTTGATGAGCATTCACAGAATGAACCTGAGGCCCAGAGAGGTTGAGGGACCGGTTGAAGGCCACACAGCAACTTCCAGGTGGACAAGTGGATTAGCCATGGAGTCCCCGGGTCTCTTAGCTGTCATAAACACACACAAGCTAGGCATTTAGAAAGAGCTACTTTCGGGGTGAGGAGTGCAGGACAGGGGAAAGCAGATACCACAGAGCACATGTCTCCCCAACTTCCATTCCAGAATTGTCTGTGCTTGCCTCCCAGCTCTCAGGGCTCCCTGGACCCTCTCCCAAGGCATCCACCCACCTCTCCGGCCCACTCCCAACCAAAGACAGAGCCCAGAAGCCTTTGCTTTGACATTTAATGCAAAGAAAAGAAAGAAAACCAGTCAGAAAGCTGAGGGGTGGATGGCTGAGGGAGGAGAAGAAGGAGGCTGGGCAGTGGGGGCAGGGTCTTCTTTATCCTGAGGTCCTTCAGATACAAATGTCTACCGTGGGGGGAGTAGGATAGAGTTATAGAACAGATGTGGTTCCAACCCAGCCCAGTCCTGCGTGAGCTGAGGATTCTAATGGTCATGGCTCCCCTCTGATAAGGGTCTAGAATGGGCTCCGTGTGGGGCTGGGCAGGAGGGGAGGGGCTGAGAAGAGGCAGGAGAGGAGGCACCAGGCCTGACCCTTGGGCATCACCAGGGGGATCTACGGAAAGAGCTAGGTGCCAACACCCCACGGGCACCCACTCTGCCCGGACACTGTCCACGGCGACCAGTGTCAGAGGTGGTGGTCTTTTGGGCAGGGAGTCTGGAGGTACACTGAGAGGGTTTACTAAGGTGGCTGTGACAGCACACCTTTTCCTGCCTTTATTCCCAACTCCCCCAGGTGAGGGGGGACTGGCAGAGGAAACCAAGCAGGAAAATACCCCATCTCCCTCCCACTCCCAGTCCCCTTAGGCTAAGTCAGAGACAAAAAGGCCACAGACTAAAAGGGAAAGAGAACAGAAAGCCGACTGACTGCTATAGTGTCTGCAGAGCTATGCAATGAGACCACGCAGGCTCTGCCCTTACATCTCATCTGCATAGACTATGCAAATGCAAATGAGAGTCCTAATATAATAAATATATTTCTAAATTTGTAATAAATATTGTTTATTCTCCCTCCCCTTCCCTAGGAAACGGGCACACAGTGGTTCAGGGGCCAGCTGGGGCGACACTGCAGTGGAGACTTAGACACCAGGAGCCACAGGGGCTGAAGTGGCAGTGGGGGTCCGGGGGAGGGGGAAGGACAGCAGAGGAGGATGAGTGAGACGACTGGGGGGGTCAGGATAGCATCTTAGAAGGGATTCTCCTATTTTACCAAATTGCCTTCCCCAAGACTGGGGGTGACATTCAGGGTAGGGGTACAATAGAAGAGGAGAGTTCGCAAAAGACATCTGGGGAAGGCCAAGGCTCTGGAAGCTGGGGAGAAGGGTCTTATAAGAAATGGGGGCCGGCAGGGAACTCATGACAAGGACCCCCAAGGCAAACACTCCCTTGCTTCCCCCAAAAAAACAGGCCTTACATATACACACATCAGCTCCAAAAACACAGACCAAGAGGCAACAGAGTACAGAACCAACCATAAGACAGTGCAGACAACAGTGTGAATGGCGCCCCCTGGTGTGTGCAGTAGGAGTCACCTAACATACAAACCTCCAAGCCCATGCTCTAGGACCCAGTGCGCACAAGGTCCCCTTCATGCTCTGCCTCAGCCCCCAGGGTCAGGGGGCCAAGGCAGCCTTGATGTCCCTAATGTGAGCAGGGCATCTAAACCTAGCCAGAGAGAAGACCCAGAGGACAACGGTCATAGGCAGAGGGCCCAGACATGTCCCCACTATGGGCCATGGAGAGCTTGAGGTCTTCTGTCAGCAGCAGACTCCTTGTTGCAGGGCTCAGCGCTCCAGGGGCACAGTGAAGCCTATAGAGAGACTCTGGCAGTGAAAAGCTGTGGATGAGAGAGGGTCAGGGCAGTGTCCACTCCTGGGACCTCTACCCCACTCGAAGGGAGATGAGACGGGTGTCACAGCAGCTGGGGCAGCTGGCTCATGCTTTGGCTTCTCCAGGTTCAGGCTGGCACCAGGCTGTCACCACCACTTGGGCCTGCCTGGCTGCCAGTAGGCCATGCATTCCCCTGGGAACAGCACCAGGCCTGCTCCTAGAACACAGGGGTGAGAGGTGGAGGCCCAGGAACGGGATAGGCATGGCCAGTCCAGAAGAGAAAAAGCTACTGAAGATGAGCGGCTGGCAGGGGGCAGTGGAACCACTGACCACAAGGTCCCAAAGCAACATTTCTCTTCTCTGAACTGAGTATTATCAAGGTGACTGACATGCTCTGAGAGAGACATCTGGTGGCCAATGGGCATAGGGAGTGGGCAGCACCTGGGCACAGACGTACCCCACAAATACCCACCCCCCGGCAGCGCACGCATCTACGCTGAAGCCAGCCTTAGGAAGAGCTGGAGATGGGGCTAAGGATAGTGGCTGGGGGCCAGAGTTGGGGAAGGGGGTGGACTCAGGGTTCTGGGTCACAACCCAGAGAGGCGAGGTCCGGGGAGCAGGGCTCAGTACACCCAGCTGACAGGCACCCACTGGGGCTCCATGCGCAGCCTCTCCATGGCTGCCTCGAGCTCACGGAAGGTCCTCTCAAGGTTGCTGTTGACCAGGCTGAGGTCAAAGTAGTGCCCGTAGCCCCTCTGGATGCGGCTGCTCTCCTCCACAGTCCGTCTCAGGTCTGCCTCCTGCCCCAGGACAAGGGGACCTCTGGTCAGTGCCCCCAACTCACCCCCATTACCAGCTCCCTCCCCAAAGCCCCTGGGTAGGATAGGCAGGAGCCCCTCTCTGCAGTCCCAAGGCACCTCTCCTGCAACCAATGACCAAAGAATGGAAGAAAGAAGGAAAAACCCTTCCAAGCACGGCCCTGAACGTTCACAACCCCTGTCATCATTGCGGCCTGGGTAGCACCGGTTAGGAACAATGCCTCCCTCCTCATTTATAAGGAAGAAAACTGAGATACAAAGGAGTCACACAGCCAGCCAGTAGCTGGATGGGGTTGGAGGTCTGCCAACTCCAAAAGCCAGTGCTCCCTCTATAGTCTGACTAAGGCCCCTGACCTACCAGAGCCACCCCACAAGTGCCAGGGGCAACTCACCCCAGACCCAGACGCAGCTGGCCAGGCAGCTGAGTAAAATAAGCTGGACCAGCTGCTTCTCATAGGCCCCAATCTTCTGAGTTTGTTGCCAGGGCGGAGATGCCCAGAGCGGGGCTCAAGCAAGGATCCAAAGCTCCCTAGGCCCCAGCAAGAGGGGAGGCCTGGATAGCCAGCAGAGGAACCCTGCGCTCAGGCCTCTGTAAGTCCTGATGTTGTTGTTATATGCCATCAAGTCAGCCCCGACCCATAGCGGCCCGACCAGGCAGTATCACTACGGAAGTATTGCCCAGTCTTCCTTCCAAGGAGTGGCTGGTGGGTTTGAACCGCCAGCCGTCTGGTTAGCAGTCAAGTGCCTTAGGCACTATGCCACCAGAGCTCCTGCAGCTCCTGGGAAAGCCTGCAGCAAGGCCCAAACTCCCGGGTGACCTGGAGTCCGGCAACACAGACGCTTAAAACCGCTCCTTCTAGCTCTGCGCCCTCCCTGATGCTAACTCGCCCCTCCAGCCAGCCTTTCTGCCTCTGGCTTCCTCCCTCCCTTCAGCTTTTCCCCAGCTGTAAGCAGCCTCGAGTCTGAATCTGCCTCACTCCACCTCTGCCCCTTAGACCTCCCACTGACCTTCTGAGTCCCTGACTCCCTGTGACACTCTGGCTAGTTTACATCCTCTCTCAGACCTCCCTAATAAGTTGTGCAGGCAACATGACCCTCTCCCCTTCCCCAACACCCCCTCCTTCTCTTCATCAACTGGAGCCTCCTCCTACCACATCAGGCTGCCACCAACTCCTCCCACCACACCTCAGATCACCCTCACCGTGAGCTGCTTGGTGGACACCCCACTTTCCAGCGCAGCCCTGTTCATGGCCCTCAGGGTCTCAAAGTCGGGGGCTTCAATGAACACCACGTAAGGGACAAACTCAGCTGTTCTCAGCACCTTCACTGCCTGCAGGAGAAGGGGTGGAGGTTCAGGGAGTATATCCCATGTACATCCTGGGAATTGGAAGAGGGCTCTCTGGGGGGCATGGAGAGGAGGCAGCTGGGAATGGATGAGGGAGGAATACGTTGGGGTCTGGGACATAAGTCCTGGGATGGATAGGAGAGGAGCAGCTTGGAAGTGCACTAAAGGAGAACAGAGGAGCAAGTGGGGAGCTGAAAGGCTGAGAGAGACTCCAGGGGAGTCTGGGCCCCTAGCAGTAGTTGAAGAGGGGATACTTGGAGGACAAGTGCCTGAAGTGGATGGGACAGGGGTGGGGCAGCAAAGAGCCAGGAGAGGATGTTGGGCAGGCTGGGAAGGCATGGGCTGGGCAGTACCTGAGGGTTGACATCCAGCACGCACACCTTGCCAGTTGCAACCACACCCCGGATGGAGTCGATACGGGTGCCGTACAGGTTCCCCTCATACTCGCCATGTTCCAGGTAGCGCCCTGCACGGATGTCGGCCTCCATCTCAGCACGGGACACAAAGCTGTAACCCTGGCCTTCCCTCTCTGAGTCCTTGGGGCGCCGGGATGTATCTAAGAGGAAGAGGGACCCAAGTGGGTACAGGCAGGCCACACGGCCTCAGACACACACACACGTGTGCATGCATATATGTGTCATTCAGCCATGGTAGCATGTCTGCCCTCTACCTTCCTAAAACTGCTACCTTTGCCCTTACCACTGGCACATATGGAGTCATGGGAGTTGACATTGGGAGGGAGTGCATAGTGGAAGGATCCTCAGAGATCATCTGATCCAACCCAGTGTTCACAGATGGGTGCTGAGGCTCAGAGAGGGCAGTCAGCAGCCCAAAGCCACACAGCAAGGCCAAGCCTATTTGGGGCCAGCACTCAGGCCTCATGTTTCAGAACTCAGAGCTTCTGCTACACAGATGGCTGTCACTGAGAAGCCCTGTCTTCCACATGGCCACACACAGCTCATAATCCCATTTCACCTGAGCCCCCAGCTGGGCATACACTAGCTTTTAGCAAGTGAAACATGAGAGAAAGAAAGGAGAGGCCATCTCCGCCTCCTTGGCCACCCGTTTGCAGGACACCCGCCCTACTTCTCAAACCTGCAGTTCTCCCATCCACCCACAGAGGGCGCCAGCCATCTGAGGGACTTCCAAGCCAGGCAGCAAGCTCTCTGCCCTTTGACATCCTGGCTCTGTCCACTTCCACTCCTGCCTCTCATAAAACTTTCATCATTTCCTGGTGAATGATATTCCTTCCATCTGTGTTACTCTCCTGACTTTCAGATAGTAATACCAAACACAGGAGCGAGTGGGCACTTCCCTTATGTTAGTCACTCTTCTAAGACTTCACATGTATCAACTTATTTAATCCTTACATCTCCTGGAAGTTGGCAATATTTTGTAGATAAGAAAACTAAGGCACCTGTACCCACTGTCAGAGAGCTGATTCCGACTCATAGCGACTGCACAGGACAGAGTAGAACTGCCCCATAGGATTTCCAAAGCTGTCATCTTTATGGAAGCAGACTGCCTCATCTTTCTCCCGCACAGCAGCAGTGGGTTCAAAGCACTGACTTATCAGTTAGCAGCCAAGTGCTTAACCACTGCGCCACCAGAGCCCTTAAACTAAGGCACAGAAAGATTAAATAATTTGTCCAGCGTCACCCAGCTAATACATGGTGATGGCATTTGACTTCAGGCAGTCTGGCCCTCAAGCATGTCCTCCCAGTGTCCTCTCTCCCTCACACTCCAGACTCCTGCCCACCCTCTTTGGCCCTGCCCTTCAGAACCCTGTGAGGCCCTGCGCCAAGGCCTGGACCCACAGACTTCATACCCAGAGGTGCCACCTGAACCACAGAAGCCCATCAGTCGACCCAGCCCTGGCCCTCAGAGCAGCCCTACTTGGCCCCACCCAGTGGGCCCAGCTCCCACTCACAGGGCACTGTGGTGCCGTAGCGGTCAGGATCCCACATGATGAGCTTGTTCTTCAAGCTGCGCCGGCCCACACCCTGGGCCCCGATCAGCACCAGGGTTTTCCGGCGGAACGGGGGCATGCGGGCCACCTCCTCATATATGAGCAGCTCATGGCGGTCAAACTCTGGACACAGGAGGTGGCACTGGTCATCAGGGTGGTGGGCAGCAGCAGGGCTAGGCCAGGGGAGGAGGGCTAGGAGCAGGGAAGCAGGGAGGCTAGGCAGGGCTTAGGGACACAGTTGGCAGTATATCAAGGAGAGCATATTCACAGTGATGGGGGAGGGCAGGCCACGCTGTGTTTAGGAGGATGAGAGGAAGGGGCAAGGCTAACACCCACCTGCATTCTTGGTGGTCAGATACATCATTCGTTTTTTCTTCTTTCCTGAAAGGCTGCCACATAGGGTCCCTGGCCAAAGGGAGATAGGAAGGTGAGGTCAGGCAGGGCCACACCAGACTCCAGATTGGGGGTGAGGTGGGTGGTGGCAGGGACCTCATACCTGAGGTTGGCGTCAGCTCCAGGTCCCGCTTGACAAAAGCTTTCCGCTTCTCCTCCAGCAGCTGGCTGGGGATGAGCCCGGCACTGCCTCCCTCGACATGGCATGCCTGACACACACAGGGACAAAGCAAAGATCTCCAATTCCCTCACCTCCCCCCTCTCCACCCCTGGAGATATCACAGGCCACCAAAGGCTCACCTGCCACCAGTTGGCATCGTCTTGGTTGACAATCTGGAGCAAGTCCCCGGCGCTGAAACGCAGACCCGCCTCCTTGCAGGGGATGAGGCTGTCTCGGGCCGGATCATAGTCAAAGTGGCATTTCACAAACACCTGGGTACAGGGGATTGGCAACAGGTCAAGGGAAGGTGACAAGCAGAAGGCTGGAGAAGATGGTGACCTGTGCGGGGAGGGGGTCACACAGTCCACCTGCTACCCCTGCTCTCACAGAGAGGTAAGAAGGCTTGGCACTGTTCCTCTGGAAAAGTGATGCCTCCAGACCTGCCCAAACCACTTCTTTGCCAGCAGCCTCTCTTTGGGTCCAAAACAAAAGAACTCAGATAGAGGGATGGGGAATTTGTGTAGGCCTGGGTCCCTGGCCCCACCCACTGAGGAGGCCAGATCACCAGGCAAGTGACCAGACACGGGTACCAATGCTTGCCAGATCCCTACCACCAGTTCCCACTGCACTCAACTCATAGCAAATAGAAAGTAGATCACTCTCATCTTCTGTGGAGTGGCTGGTGGATTTGAACCACTGACCTGGTTAGCAGCCAGATGCCTTATCCACTATGCCACCAGAGCTACTTGGGGGAGGCTCTGGTGGATGTCTATAGAGCCAATAGAAGTGGACGGAGCCACTAGACCTCTGCAACCCACCAATCAGGATGAGGCAGATATGCAAGACACAGGATAACCTCACCCTCGGCAAACACCACTTTGCAAAGACAGTTAGTTGCACATGTTGCAGGAGCTCACTTGTATGCTCAGGTCCCCATGGCCATGGATGCCTGCACGTCCTTTGCACATGGATGCGTGCCCAGATGGCATGAGGGCACACATGAGCATGTGCACATGCACCACACACAGAGGCCTGTGTGTGCTTGTGTTCTGCCCTCCTGGCCTGCAGGTCTGACTCCCTATCTTGCCTTGGGCAGAAGGACCCCCACCATGATGTGATCCTGGTAGCTGGGTGTGACTCAGTCATCCCTTGAGCCTCATACTGGGTGGCAGGTGAGGTAGAAAGGCCTACCTGGCGGGGCAGGTGGGGCTCCTGATAGCTGGGCAGGATCTTGAGGATGACACTGCCACTGGCACTGCGCAGGAGCTCCTGCAGCGCACGGGGGTCGCTGCCCACCGGCTGCCCGTTCACCTCCTTAATGATGTCTCCCACGTGCAGCAGGCCTTGCTGAGCCACCATGCCCCCGTGCAGGATGCGGGCAATCACCAACTCACCGCCCTCCACACGGAATGTCACCCCCTGGGGTAGGGGGAGACGGGTATGATGCGGGTCTGCCACGTTTCTAGGAGTCTGAGACCCCCTCCTCCAGCTGCTCTGAGTTAGATTCTTCAAATGGGTCCCCTAACGACCCCATCCTACCACCACCACCTCCATCCTTCTGCCCAAATTTGACCCTTATAGGAAGCATTCATGGAGGGAAGGGAGGCAGAGTGGAGAGGGCCCTGACACATGGACACGCTCACGTGCACAGTGTGCAGTGTGTGGCCTCCTGGGTCCACATGGGCCCTTCCCTGGGCAAAGCTGAGCCTTTCTGTGTCTTCAGCCCTCTACCAACCAGCTTTGCCCCACTGGTTACTCCCACCGCATGCCCCCAAGCTACCAGCACCCTCACCAAATGCTCTCCAGCGGTCTTGCGGATGCCCACCATGCGAACGGCATCGGGGGGCACAGGCTGGTTGCTGAATGTGGGGTCCAGGCCAGGACTGGGGGGTGGTGTCTCATAGGTCTTTGAAGCCACTGAGTCGTGTGTCTCCAAGAGGGACTGGAGAGGTATTGGGAAGGGGGGCACAATGGGACAGTGTCCTGTGGTCTCTTCCTATCTCCACTCTCACCCCAGCTCTAACTTCCCACCAGTCCCTCCCCCGGAGTCCCTGTTGCAGCAGATGCCACAGCCCCACCACAGCCCCAGGGTGCACTCCCAGAAACCTGAAAGTGGGGCTCCTGGAGGATGCGGGCCAGCTCTGCGGCAGTGCTGCTCTGCTCCGCCAGCTGCGCCAGGTCCCGCAGGATCTCCTGCACCAGCTCCAAGTTATTGTCACGCACCGCCTCCAGCTTGGTCTCCTCCAGTCGTTCGTGGGCCTGGTGGTGGGAGTAGAACACATAAGGCCTTGTGCTCCCCCCATCATGGGCTCCAGGACACCAAACTATGTCCCTCCCACCCAGGTCTCAGGCATCTCACGCCTCGCCTGATCCCTTTACAGCTCCCAGCCCCAAATCCAGACCTCACACCCCACCCACAGCACTGCTGGCTGGCGCCATGTTTCAGACTTTTATTCATCCACCAAAAGACCACAGGCGTGCATGTGCCCCTAGCTTCTCTGTGCTTCCTGGAGAATAACAACTAGACCCAGTGTGTCGTTAAGTGCCACGAGTCTGTTCCAACCCACAGCGACCTATGTACAACAGAACAAATGCTGCCTGGTCCTGCATTGTGAGGATGGCACAGGACTTGGTGCAGGGAAGTGAGAATCCAAAGAACTTTTGCTACAGAGATCAAACAATCTTGGCCCCCAGGACCCTATAAGCATCTGAATTCAAGGCAGCTTCTTCCAACTGACATCATGGTTGAATGGGATCCAGGGTGAGGAAGCTATGGAGTAGGGTAAGTGGCCCAAGATCACAGGGACATGAACTTGGGTCTCCAGACCCCCAGTGCAGTGCTTTCTGCTGCCTCTCCACTGAGGGGTGGGACAAGAAACCAACACCCGGTGCCAGGAGAGGGCCGCACACCTACTTCCTGCTCTCCTAACTCTAGGATCCCATGACAAGGTGCTCTGGAAAGAGAAAAGGAAGCCTTTACCAGCAACCAGCCTAGCAGTGAGAGTTAGGTTATGTGAGTAAGGAAGAAAGGAGTTCCATCTCAGGAATATATAACCAAAAACCAGCTGACTCTGCTCTGTGCACGTCAGAGTAGACACATAAGGGTTTCACTGGCTGGTTCTTCAGAAGCAGCCAGGCCTTTCTTCCAAGGCACTATTGAGTAGATTTGAACCTTCAACCTTTCAGTGAGCAGGTAGGAGTGTTAACTGCTTGCACCACCCAGGGACCTACAAAGATTTTTTTCCCCTCTGAATCATTTGAGAGAGAGTTGCAGGCATAAGTCATTTCACCCCTAAGGACTTCAGCCTGTACGTCCTGAGAACAGTCTGTTCCATAAACCACACATCATGATTACACTCAAGAAATTTAACATCGATGTGTTGATACTATACTTCCTAGTAGTCCATGTTCAAATGTTCTGTTCTGCCAAAAGTATTCTTGACAGTTTAACTTTTCTGATCCAGGATCCAATCAAGGATCATGCATTGCATTTGGTTGTCACTTTTTTTTTGGTCTCCTTTTAGCTAGCATAGACCCCGGCAACTTTTGGTCATTCGGGACATTTTTTAAGAGTCCAGGCCAGTAGCTTCTAGAATGTCCCACAACTCGGACTTACCTGATTGCTTCCCCATGATTAGATTCAACTTAACTGCTTTGGTGAGAATTCTACACAGGTGATCTGCGTCTTTCCTACTGTATGCAGGGGTGCAGATCTGTGGGTGATACTCTGAAGCCGTGTCACTGTCTCGTTCCCCAACGCCCTTCCACCAGTGGATTTAGCACTGATTTATCATCGTTGCCTGAATCAGATGGTATATTAAGGACTGCAAAACAGGGATGGCTTAGCTCCATCATTCAGTCTACTCTGTTAGATGGCATTCTACTGCAGGACAAGCTTCCCTGTCTACCACTCTCTTTCTCTGTATCAGAGTTTAACTCAGTGTGTTCCATTATCATCACTATCTTCATTGTCCCAATTTATCCCAAATGTGTCCAGTGGGAGCCCCATTCAAGCCCTTGTCTTTTGATGTGTTCCATCTGTCCTTTAGCCTTTATGCTACAGGATTATTCCTAGAGAGGAAAATCCAGCCCAGTCCACAAGGGTAAGGGGAGGATGTTAACAGCTACCAACTTGACTCCATTCCTGTGGGTTCCTGAGCCGCTTTGTCGGAAGAACCAAGTTTTTGCAGCTAGATCTTTGATCAAAGTATTTTGTCTGCCTACTGTCTTTGTTTCTGGAAGAGGCTCATCTTGTACGTTAGCAATTACTCCAAGGAAACGTGGTTTTCTTTCAGTGGGGAATGGTCTCCACCATGACTCTGGGAAGTAGTCATCATAATCCTCACGTCTCAGGGGAAATAAGTGAAACTCAGAGAGGTTAACAGGCATATAAAAGTCACACAGCCAGCCAGTGACTCTTCTGACCCCAAGCCCTATGTTCTTTCTCCATTTCATGTGGATTAGTTCACACACTGTCCTCACATGCCTCCCAGTTGGCAATGTTCCCATGAGTACTTGCCTGCATTTCTGAGTATTATACGCCTTGAATTACTCACCTTGGTCCTTCATGCTGTTGGAACACCTGCTGGCAGATCCCTGCCAGCCCTCTTATTTGCCACTCAACTGCCAGGGCTGCCACCTGCTGTCTGCAGCCAATCCCCTGGCCTTGTGATCTGTCCACTAGACTCGACTTCCCTCCAGAACCAGGCCCTGCCCCTCCCTGGTCCCAGATTTACCCAGCCCAGCCCCTCTCACACTGTCTGCCACACCCCTAGAGAAAATAATCCAGCCCATCTCCACAAGGGTAAGGGGAGGACATTAACAGCTACCAACTCGACCCCATTCCTGTGGGTTCCCAGGCCACTCTGTCAGAAGAACCAAGTTCTTGAAGCTAGATCTTTGATCAAAGTACTCTGTCTGCCTACTGTGTTAGAAATTTAACCGTATAGATAAGCATTAAAATTGGTAAGAAGTAGGAAGTAGGTTCCATCTTTACTGAGTTCAGACAGGCCTGTCTGGAGACTCACTTTCTGATTTGTTTACAATCAGATGGAGGGAAGAAATCATTGGATCACCTTAGCCCATTAGCCTCTTAGGGGAGGTTTCAGAATGAAGTAGAGTTCACACTATCTTCTGTTACACTCTAGGCATCTGGAACCACACCAGGAATTTCTTGGGAGGAAGTTCTGGCCAACTTATCTCCAAAAACACTTCTGGAGAAAGGAGTTTACTTATAGCTTATACTAAACTAAGAAAACCAAACTCACTGCCATCGAGTTGAATCTGACTCATAGCGACCCCCACTGGGTTTCCAAGGCTGTAAATCTTTACAGAAATAGATCACCCTATCTTCCTTCTGCAAAGCAGCTGGTGGGTTTGAACGGCTGACCTTCTGGTTAGCAGCCAAATGCCTTATCCACTAGGCCACCAGAGCTCCTTACAGCTGATATAGTACATTGATAACCTCTCAGGCCTTACTTGAGGTCCCAGGACTGGGAAATTGTAGGGTCAGTAAGAGGAAGATACAGGAAGACAGACTTGAGCTCCATCAGAAGAACAAACTAGTTGGCAGTTCATTGCCATAGCCCCAGCACTGGTGTGGTACACAGCGAGCATGCAATGGATATTTGTTGAATAGATGAATGAAGGATGGATCGATGGATCGATGGATCAACAGGTGACTGAATGTAGGGCCATTCAGCTGGCAATCCCATTACTGGAGAAACGTCACATAGAAGTTACCGGAGAGGAATGCTATTGAGGGCCATTATGCTTTGAAAGGGGTTGGCCAGAGGACCTTCTACCCTGAGATTTGCCATTTCAAATGGATCTCCTTCTCTCTGTGGCTATCTCACCGGAGAAGCAGTAGTTAAAGTAGCCCAGAGCTGGCATGGTCTAATAAATCCAACTCTGAAATCAGCTTTGGAAGGCCACAAATATTAAGATTCAAAGGTTCACCTTGGAGAGAACAATCATGGGAGAAAGAAGGGCTGCTTATGCACAGGGAGACAGCTCAGGGGGCAGGAGTCCATGGAGGGATGGACACTGGGAAGAGGTAACTATGGGGAAGAAGTGTGAGGGGAGCTGTTGCATTGTGGTAAACTGTGACCAATGTCATGAGACAAAGTGTATGTGACCTGCTGTATGGAAAGTGAATTTGCTCTGTAAATTTTCACCCAGATCACAATAAAAAAAAAATTTAAAAAAAAGAACTGAAAAAAAAAAAAGATTCAAAGGTTCAATCTAATTCTACTGTTCTGACCTTTATACAGACTGAGGGTGACAATGTAGCAGACTCATATTTGGTAGTTTTTAAAGGCTTTTGTTAACAAATCATGGATTTTTTGACCCACAGACCACATGCCCTTGGATGCACATACATAGGCACTCACACACACATATGCACTCACACATATGCACACCCACACATACATGGACAAACATGTACACTTACACACACACTCTCCCACAAGTGTGATGGCTCCTGTGTTCTCTGTTATCCCAGTCCTGGCCTTTGCTGTAGGTATCTGGATACTAAAGGTGTCAGCATGAGAAGAATGTTATTTGTTCTATGTGTTGTATGACTTGATGTGAGCACCCCTGTGGGAATATGAGATCAGCAGTCAACTTCCCTATGGGGATTCCTGAGCAGTACCTTCTACCACTTGATTTAGAGGGCCTCACTCTGGTCCTCCTCCAGCTGCATCCATCCTCCATAGTGCCAAGAATCCATGGGACCAGAGACGTGACCTCCGTTCTAGGCCTTGCCCTGGATAGCCAAGACCCTGGGATTCTCCACCTAAATGGCCATGAGCTTGCTTCCACAGCCTCACGGGATTCCTCCCACACTTTTAACAGTGATAATGCTGCTAGCGTGCACTCCCTGTAACTTAGAGATAGTGAATGGGTGGCTGGCTCCCCCAGAAACTCTTATTCATTATGGTGGGAATGCAAAATGGTTCAGCCACTTTGGAAGATAGTCTGATGGTTTGTTACACAACTAAAGACAGGGTTACCATTCAATCCAGCAATGCACCCCTAGGTATTTATCCAAATGAGATGAAAACATATGTGCACGTAAAACCGGTACACAGATGTTTACAGCAGCTTTATTCCTGATTGCCAAAGACTGGAAGCAACCAAGATATCCTGCAATAGGGAAATGGATAAACAAACTGTGGTATATCGATACAATAGAGTATTATTCAGTGATAAAGAGAAATGAGCTATTAAGACAGGAAAAGAGACGGGAACCTTAA